AGCAAAGTGTCTGAGCTCTGTGTGTTCAATTTGTCTTACAGGATGGAACTGCCTTGTATGAAGGCAATTTTGGTAGAGATGTGGCTGGAGGGGGAAGAATAATCCCCTTCTCTCTCTGCATGCTGTAGTACCATTAAAATTCAAATAACAGAATGCAGAAATAGTAAAACTAAACTAACTAACAAAACCACCTTAGTCTTCAGGTGTTTTCAAAGGAAAATGCACAAATAACTTTTGGAGATGTTCTGTCCAAACATGCTGGGTATGTTCAGAGCAGACCCATTGAAATAAATGAACTTACGTCCATTGGCTTAGTTGGATATCATCTAATGTAACCTGGAAGCATTCGTGTAAAATATGGGCTGGCTCATTTGTCAAAACGTTTCTCAGGCTGGTTTATGTGATTGGATGTAACTTTATAAAATACAGAAAGATGACTCTGCTTGGAGAGAGACTCCTGTAGTACCTAGAAGCAGGTCTTTATAAACCTGGTCCATAATCTTTATTCCACACCTACCTCCCAGGATAAACTAATCAACAGTGCACAGCCCAGCATACGTGTATCTGCTGATCAAAGAGCAAGACGCTTTCTTCCAGCTTAATTGTGAATTTAAAGCCATTCATTAGTAAGTCCCTGTAGCACTGCAGGAGTGGGGGGAAATAGGTATTTTTTTAAAAAAAATACATGTACCAGAAATGGGAGAGTTTTGCTGGCTTTCTGTTATAATTCAGATTTCAGCCCTATATTTAAAGAGACAAAATTTAGGCTGTATCCAGGAAGTAGGGTGGTTCAGATATCCTGATCAACATTGGTTCCATTTCTTGAAAGCCTCAGGGTAACTGTGTTAAGCTGGCTGTGGCTGATGGGAGCCAAAATATCTGAAAGGCACCAGGTTGAAAAGGCTGGTATAAATCATACCAGTGCACATGGGAGAATACTGAACAAAGCCACATGCAACACACTGCACAGCACCTCATTTTCAGGACACTTCTTTCTAGAACACCAAATTAGAGTAGAAAATGTATGTGCGGAGATTGTCATAGAATAATGTGTTGGTGGGACAACTCAGGGGATCTGTGCTGAGATGAGGCTGGATAAAAACATCGTGTCCAAGATTCAGCATGTCCCTTTGGCTGAATACTCCTTACATGGGAGTAAAGCCTTTATTTTATTGTTTTGCCTATTGATTTGCTACCAAAATAGCTGAAGGTCATTCTTTACCCTGTTTGATGTCCAGTGGCACAGCTTCATGCTCTGGCACCGGCGGCGGGGAGCAGGCAGGGGCGGGGCTGGCGTGTGTCCTGGGGGCGTGGTGCACCGCCTGCAGGGGTGGGGCACGCGTTTTGGGATGGGGCATGCGTTCTGGGGGCAGGGCATGCCACCTGTGGGGGTGGAGCGCCCAGCACAGGAGGGAGGGCAGCCATGATGGAACCCCACTGGGATCGCACTGCCGGGGGCGGTGTGCTCCCCCGCCCCCCTCTTCCTCCACCAGTGTTGATGTCATGTGATGAATTTCAGTTTCGTTTACCATTGCCTCTAGTTTTCTTTCAAACATGGCAACACATAATTATCTCTATAAAGTTTGAGCAGTCTCAGGAAAGGCTTATCCTAAGGCCTGAAGTTTATATTACTGGGTAAGTATTTTTTGTTGAGAAACTCCTAAAGAAATTGGCTGAATAAGCCTTTGTATCATTTAGTACATAATTAGTAGCTAAAACACACACAGTAACCTTGTGAGTGGCAGTCCTATGCAGAATTAACATAGCTTTACTCTGTAGGATATAGTAATCTTCACACTTTAACATTATTTCTGCCACGTTTCCTTCTCTTTGCTATTAACTTTAGCACCCAGGATTCAAACCTCTGGGCTTTTATATCCCATCCGTTCCACCCCTCCATGCTAAAACCTAATGGGTTTTCTGTTTCCCCATGGAAGATGTTGAACAGATCCTCATTTTTCCATAATCAAAGATGGAGTTGCCACCACCCCACTTAAATAACATTAAATTCAGTGTTACCAGCTGTTCAGCAATGAGGCCCTTTGTTACTAAAAAAAAAAAAAAAAAAAAAGCAATTTGAAAGAATTTTGTAGAAAGCCTCTGGTAATTATAAAAGTTTATCATCTCACCATTATGAGGTTCTAAAATGCTTATGAGAAAAACTGCACCACATTCCTGGTTTTCTACCAATTTCAGTTTTGGGAAAAATAATTTAATAGGCTGAGAGCAATTATAACTAAAAAACATCTATATTGCACATAATTATTATCAGCCTTATTGTTCTCACTGTCCAGCCATCTGAGTTCCATTCCCAATCTGCCCACAGGCATCATGTGTGCAATTAATAAATCGTCTTCATCTTCTCCACACATATACACACTAATTCTCAAATATGTAATTTTAGCTGAGTGATGTTCAGGGAATTTTACAAAAGGCAAGGATATCATTAAACTAACGTACATTATTTCTGTGTTACAATTTGCATGCAAAGCCTTTATTTCTTATCTCTTCTTTATTTAGTTTTTTGCAATGTGTAATTCAGTCAAGGTTATAATCCTTACTGAATGCCTGCCTGGCAATGAACTGTCAGCAGAGATTCATTTCTGTTGTGGGCTACAGGAATCTGTGGTAATTTAAAGAATAGAATAAATACAAGGGAAGAAGGGACAGTTTTATCAGATGAGCTATGCACCTGGCTCTGGTTTAGAACTTATAATCATTTTATAAGCTACCAAACTGAGTAAGATCCATTGGTCCATCTAGTTCAATATTGTATTTATGGACAGGCAATAAGATTTCAGACAAGAGATGATTCCCAGCACTATGTGGAGATGCCAGGGCCAGGGGTTGGACCTGGGACCATCTGTCTTATGTTCTACCACACTTTATACTTTGGCATTCATGTTCTTTATTATGAGTAAACAGTTAAAAGCAAAACATAATATCCCAGTTGGAAAATGTCACGCTGGTAGGCCTTCCAAGCCACTGGTAGAGTTCCAGAGCTGGGGGGCCACCATGGAGAAAGTGTTCTCCTTCATGCCTGCCTGTTGAGTATTTTAACAAGAACATCATTATCTAAGCTGGTTTATCACCAATAGTCAATTTGATTATCATAAGCCTTGCATGAAATGGTGGCAGATCCCAGGATGCATTTTTTGCATGGTGTGTGTGTATGTAGATATGAATATGTCAAATGCAGATAGTAAACATAGTAAAAAAAAACAAAAAAAAAAAACTTGCCAGCCAGCAATTATGTCTTTTTATTTGTGACTATGCATGGAACGGACTCCCTTGGAAAGTGGTAGACTCTCCTTCATTAGAAGTTTTCAAACAGAGGTTGGATAGTCATCTGTCATGAATGCTTTAGTTGAGATTCCTGCATTGCAGGGATTGGACTATATGAATATTAATATTTATACCCCACTATATAAATATTATTATTTATACCCCACTGGTTTCCCCAGCCACTCTTCCAACTCTTGTTGGCATGCACCTGAATTGAGAGACAATGGAGTATGCCTTCAAGGGTGAAGTAAAATGCTGTGTTTCAGGCTTATGTTCCAATAAAGTACACAAGACTACTCATTGTTTTTAATCAAACATAGGCATTGGAAGAGGAATAGAACTACTAGGTACCTGGCCTTTTCCTAAAACCATGCACAGGAAACACAATGAAAGCAGCAGCTCTCACTAGACCCCTTTCTTCCCAAATAAGGTTGGGCCACATGAGGCAGTGGTGGTTTAGTTAACCCCACAAATCCAATGTGTATCAATAAAGGTTCTTTAGCAGCGGACATTCAAACCACCCAAGAGTTTGGCTCATCTCTCTACTTCAGGTGTTCCATGTTCTGCACCCCTGAAAGAGGGTCCTGCACCACAGTTTGAGAACTATGAGTGCATAGTGTTTACTAGACGACAAAGAGATGACAATGAGGCACCTGTTCATAAATTAATTTCCTGGCACCAGAGAAAAACTGTATTTTGCAAACTGAAGTGTCATGCAATATTCCGGTCTGGGATAACTGTTTTTCATACAACAAATATAATTAGTATTCTGTCCTTTGGCAACGTTTGAGATTTTTGGCTATGTTCTGTAGTAGTTTGTTTGGTTAAATCTCCCCTCTGGATACATGTTTGTATCTGTGCATTTAAGATACTCTCATTGTGGCAGACTACATTGCTAAGCAAGCTTTTCCTGCTGGGCAGAAGATCAGTGTGTTAAACAAAATTAGCATGTGTAAGCACAAAAAGGGGGGGAAGTCAGAATATAGTAGGGCACTTAATTGGCCAACTGCCATCAACCATTTCAACACTTGCACACCTTCCTAGCTACTTGTACTGCATTGTTAAAGGAGAATAAATCATTTGACACACAACTAGGTTTTAGAAAAATATGTGAAAACCATTCAGGCAAAAAATCTGTTTGAAATGTATGAAATTTTCCATCTGACTGCTTTCTGCTGGGAGAAAATATTGCAGTGAGTTGCAATATTTTTAATCTTGTTTTATATTAAATAGTTTAATATATAAATCACTCAGGGCACAATTGTTAAATTCAACGCAATTTTTACTTCATTTTCAGGTGACAACGTTTCTCAGTGCGGTTCCAAAAATGTAGGCATTTAAATAACTCTGCTACCCTAGCAAAGACTGCAAATTTTGTGAATACAAATATAAATATGTGGAACACTTAAGCTACCTGAAATTGGAAAGCATTGCTAATAAAATGGGAAGCTAAAGCTTTCATTTGCAAACTGTGCATATCAGTCTAAGTACAGTACACATATCTTATGCCAGATTGATCTATTACTTTGGTGCGAGGGCAAGCATAACTTTGGAACCTGATGAAGGGAAAAGTGACTTGGGGAAGGTGATTTTGTGTGTAGAAGCAGTGAGTGAACAAAGAGGAACGAAAGAAGCTATTTTGTACTGAGTTAGACCATTGGCTTATCTAGTTCAGAATCTGCAGCTCTCCAGGATTTAAGGCAGAGGTCTCTCCCAGAAGATGAGATTTCAGGGATTGAACCTGCGATCTTTTGCATGCAAAGCATGTTCTTTACCACTGAGCCACAGCCCTTCCCTACACTGTCACTGCTCCAGGTAACATCATCTCCCCCACCCCTACAACTTTAAATAAATAATAAATAATAATCAGCAATCAAACAGGTGTTGCACACATCACACTTTAATGTTGACAGAGCCGTCTTTCCCATTGGTCTTAGTGGTTCATTGCACCAGGGTGCTGGCCTCTCAGGGGCGCCCTAGCGAGTGGGGGAGCTGGCTGCTTTGCTGGCAGCCTCCCCTTTCCCTACATGCCCGCCAGCTGCACCCCGCCAACCCTAACCCTTCCCAAGCCTCCACAGGAGGAAAGCGATCCCCGCAGAGGCTTAGGATGGAAGCTTCCCTCCCAAGCCTCTGCATCTGCTAAAGACGGCCCTGCTCCGGTTGTTGTACTCCTCCTGCTTCCTGGCAAAAGGCGGCGTGCAGCCTTCCTGGGCGCCCTGACACCGGAGAGCATGTTCGCCAACACGTTTTCCTGCTTGATCGCCGTGACCACGCTAGGGATCGGGGCGGTTGGGGAGGCAGAGGGCAACCTACAGATGTTGTTGGACTGCAACTCCTATAATCCCTGACCGTTAGCCATACTGGCTGGGACTGAGAGAAACTGAGGTCCAATAGCACCTGAAGGGCTACAGGTTTCCCCACCCTGATTTAGGGCAACTAGTTGGAACTGCAACTGCAACTGCAAAAGTTTTTCTTTTCTTTTCCATTTCCATTTCCTTCTGCTAATCCAGCTCACATAACATAGTCACCATCATCACGACACTGAATCACTAGAAATACTATATTTGCTCAAAGAGATAGTAAAATTTATGTCAACAAAATAAATGCTATGCTACTGGGATATTTAAAAGTTCTTTAAAATAAACACAGCCAAATATGCTTGTTGCCTTCCCAGCTACCCACTGACAAGGTAAATGGAATTTCTAACTTCCCTGATTTCTGAGTATGTTTAAAATGCTTTCTTCCAAAGCAAGATGCAGGATTTTGCCCAAAATTGCATAATGTAAAACAGTGCATTTCTTGGCCGTGATATGTATGTGTGTACATGACTAACCCAACCAAACAGCAGCACCACATGAGTACTATTAATTATTAGCTGTCATATTGAGATTAAATTGGGCATTAAATTAAGGTTAAAGAGAGATTAAATTGTGACCTGAGGTGCAGAAAAGACTCACTAGGTGCTGAAATATAAAGTCATTATTTGCAGAGAATAAAATTAAGAGCCTTTGCTGCTGTCTGCTTTCTAATATAGTGCTGGATTTAAAGATGCATGAGGAAAATTAGTACCATACGTATAGTTGGTGTTTCCTAGAATGAGATGGGACAGAGAGAACGGGCTGGCAAAACTGGTTGTGAGGTGCAATGACTCACAATGGTTTTCTTTGTGCAGAGTAAAAGATAGGACCTCAGCATTGGTGCTGTTGAGAGACTGGCCAACTCCATTACGCTCCTTCCTCTACTGTGATCAAGCAGGTAGCCAAAAAAAAAAAAGAGAGAGGTGTGATCTCAGGGCCTCCCCATCAGCTCACCTGACAAACCAGCAGTGGTTGGCTCCTCTTCTCCTTGAACACTTTCCATCCAGTTGTTACAAGAACCGTGTGGCTAGTACTAGTGCTGGGTTTATTTTGGGGATGTAGACTTTATATTAGGGGGGGCCGAACTGAGATATCTTCAATGCAATTGGCCAGTTAGTTAAATATTTCTATTTATTTACTTGATGGAGGGGGCAGCTGTCCCTGCACACACTGCCGTTGTTGTGTTTGGTCCTCGTTACTCCTCCCAACACAAATTTACTCCTTTAACTCTGTACTGCCTCACCCTCTGCCTGTCTCACACGTATTTTTTACACAGCAGCCACTTGGGCATGCTGTTCACACCTGGCATGTAGCCCACACTCATTCCCATAAAAGCCAAGTTCATGTTCTGGTAGAACAACATCAGGTTCAAGCTGGCAGTCTCTATTCCTGCACAATCCCTCACAATGCTACTTAGGGCTTGTAGCCTACATACCTTTGAGACCACCTCTTTCCTGCAACCTATTGTGAACTGTACTTTCAGGTGTGAATGACATCTTTATGGCATCCTTCCAGTACCCAAGTCTGAATGGGAAAGCCACAGAGAGACATTCTCAGTGGCTGTTGTTCATTTATGGTACTTGCTTTTTCCAGAGTTATAAGGTATTTTTAGGAAGCCATTCTTATGTGAGGAACAGAAAACCATCCTTGCAATTTTGCAATTGATGGAATTGATGGAAGAACAGAGAAGAGCACTTACGCAGCTTTTATTGATTTAGAATTTTTTTTAAAAATCTCAGCTGGAACAAAATGTTTACCATTTTAAAACTGGAATAAATGGCAAAGGGAGAAGAACCTATATAAAAACAGGAAGCTATAATTAGAGTAAATGCTATTGTACAAACAACTAAAATAAGTTAAGGGGTCCATCAAGGATGCTCAATGTCCCCTGTCCAAGATCTATTTCAAGGATGCAATAAACAAAATAAAAGAACTAATAAATACAAGTATTAAAGGAATTAGGAAGGAAGTAAACCATTTTGCGATGGGGATGAGAAGGAAGTGCTTTCAGTAGCTGATGTTTAAAAATGCACTTATATTGATCATGGCTTTCTGAATGTGACTCACCCTGAACTTTTGAAGAAATGGTAGGGTAAAATCCATATATATATATATAAATCCTATTTATTTATTTTGGCCCTTTCCCACTACACACATTCTGAGTTCTGCTTTCCATCTCCCAATATGATTTTCATTACACCTTCATTTTTCTCCTCTACTTTCAGCTTCAAAAGTTAATTATAATCTAATACTTCAGACAGGCCTTACTCTCTTTGCCAATTAATACAAAACCACCTACTGTGAAGCCCATAAATTTTTTGAATGCAAAGAGAAAGCCTGCAAACAAGGAACTAGCTGTGTGAGTCCAGGCCGAAGGTATGGTATTATAGTAGGTGAACTGCATGCTGGGTATTGTAGTTATAAGCAGTGGTCCATGAGACTCATTCAGGTGGTTTGTACTATGTCTTCAATTAAAAGTCATCATTTTCGTTGTTATAGTGGTTTATGGTATTAAAATCTGAATTTTGTGCAATTTAAGTTCCATGCAAAGAAAAGGAACAATTAAAAATCATACAGCATCTAGACAGCACATTCCAATTGCTATAAACAGGCAGAAAAATATTTATGTGATCCACCAATGTGATCCACCATCAGCAATGTTCAAGTGATCCAAGGGAGCAAAATTTTGGAACCACTGTTTTAACTAATTTTACCTTTTTTGTATTGTTCAGTTACCCATACACTACTTAGAGTTGATTATAAATCGTCAAAATAAAATAAGTAAAATAATAAATAATAAACAAACATTGGTTTGTTGTGAGAGAGTATACCATAGTAAACCTCAGCATTGCTTACTTCCTCCTTCCCTTCACTCCTCTTTTAAGCGTCAGAGGAACCTTGTTTCCCATAACATCAGAATCTGGACAGCTGTAGTTTGTTCTAACCACAGTTAAGAAACCAGGATCTGAAACCATGACAGAGCACAGTAGTGGCCGGTGGGGCAGCATGGGTGGGGTTGCGTTGTTCCCACCACCATGGTTGCTGCCCTTTACCACTGTGCAACCTTGCCCCTCTCCTTCTTGGTAACTGGCAGTGATGTGCAGCATTGGGAATCAGGGAGAGTAATGCAGCCCCAGCCTCCCTACCTTGCCAGCTGCTACTGAGAGAGCATGTGAATCTGAGACTCATGCCTGGTTATCCTTATAATGCTAACGCAGTCTTTGCTAAGCTTTAGACTACAGCTCCCATGAGTCCCTGCCACCACAGGCATGTGAAATATCTGGAGGGCACCAAGTTGGTGAAGGTTTAACATTATGTAGTTCTGCATCTCTGTCAGATGCCACCAGTAATGACCAGTCATGATACCGAGACTCTCAATAAGATGGCAGTGATCTGCAAGGCAAGTAGTTCTAGCAGTTGTAACCGGGGTTGGGTGGAGAGGAGGAAGAGTCGCTTGCAGCAAGGAAGTCACTTTCAGTAGCATCCCCATTGTGAATATACTATGTGAATGACCCTAAGAGCTAATGTGAAAGAGCATCTTCATTGTGTGTCCTACAAATGAGATTCTGGGCCAATCTTTAATTAAGCTGCCACAGAGAAACATTTCCCTACTATTCCATGTGATAGCTGTTATCTTGGGAAAAGCCTTTCGTGAAGGTGCAGCTCAGCATAGACATCAGGTTCTTTTATCCATGCCAGTCCAAACCTTGCTTTTCAAATGTTTGTGCTAGTGTACAAAAGAATCCCAATCACATGATGCTACCAGGAGCGATAAAAATCAGCTTCTATGTGGTTGTAACATGTAGATCTATCCCCAGATCTCCCTGCACCCCTCCATATTTTTATAGTGTACCATTCTAATAATTTTAGTTGGTTCTGCATTACACTCTATTAAGCCATTTCTTTTCCGCCATATATTATTCATAAGACTGATCTTTTATTTAGTGTTATTAAAATTAATTCTTCATTAATTCTAAGAAAAGATGAACATACAATGAAATACTTTGAGATAAATTCAGCAAATATTATTAAAGGAACCTGAGTGAATTACAACACTGAAAGCGAATGTAATAATGGTATGAACTGTTTCTGAAATATAACCTATGAGATAGAGCAGCTCCCCACCTTGAACAGTAGAGTAATTTAACAACATACCAAAACATAGGCCAGTATCAGACCATAATTACCGAGCTGATTCTGCTGAAGAGCTTTGCTTTATCATTGTGTCTTAGAAACTGAGACTAATCCAGAAGCATCATATACATAAATTAGCTGTAGCCAGAGGCAGGGCTTACTGTAATTAACAGTTGTTTAGGAACCCTACACAACAACTGTAGGCATTAAAATTGTTTCGGAGATTGATAGGAAATGTGTTTTCTGCCACACACCCTGCCAAGCTTAGGCAACACAGCAAGCAAATTCTGCAGTTCACACGAC